ATGGCAGTTATGATTTTAGCACATTCATCATCTTGATGTTTCAGAATGAATGTCACTCCTACAGACTGAAAATCCTCACCACAGTGTAGGAAACCAGACTGCCAGCAAAGGCAAAAACCACACTCACTGAATGAATTCATGCTGTAGAGTAAAAGCATCCTAGAAAGAGGAGAAATAGTCTTATTTCAAGCAAAATATTCTAAATTATACAAAAAAAATTTCTATAACATGTCCTAAAAGTTTTAGTCAGTTTTTTTAATACCCTACAAGCCTCATCACAAGTATTTCTAGTGAAATGGCTTTGTTTGTTATGACAACATTAATATTCCTATGGATGTTTACACATCAGTTTCAAAAGTCTATTTGGAACTTATGTGACTGGTGAAAGAACAGCCATGGTTTCAGCCACTCATGTGGATCACAGGTGGCCTTATCTTATTAACCAAAAAGGGATTTAATTAACCCAAGTACAGTAGCTGCTTGAGAGGAGCCAAGACACAAGTCTTGGAAGATGAAGGGGTAAATATTATCTCCATTTGTAATTTTTCCCACCCCAAGTTACCACACAAACTTTCCAAAAGGCCTCACTTTCATCCCAGAGCACAAGGACATTTTTCTTTACTGTCATAAAGAGCGATTTCCTCCTTAGTTCTCCTTTAATTGCTCCCTCCACATCCACTGGAAACAGGAAACAAAAAAATCCTTCCCATTATCTCCCTCTCCAGGGAAAAAAGGCCACCCTGTTTGTGGCATGGAAAGTCAGAAACCCTTCCAAAGTGGTATCTGGACTCCTGGCAGCTGGTCTGCTCTGTATATAGAGATATACAGACACATTCATCCCTCAGCTCAAGGATTTAATGTCAGCTTTTCAAACTTTATCAGTGCTCCCAGAATTATTCTGAATTCTCATCCAAGAGTTGGTAAGTCCTATATAGGTACTATAGACACGTAACATAGGAAATTTAGAAATAATTATGAGAAAAACAACTGTCAGATAAATTCAGAGCTGAGAAAAGAAATGCAGACACTGATAATGGCAACTCTGAAAGTCAGAGATGGAGGAAAAAAAATCTGCCCTGCATGAGCTTTTGTGTTTCTCTCTTGCTTAACATACTTCTTTATTATACTTCTTTAATATATTTATCGCTCAAAATAATTTTTGTTGTTGTTTCTATTGAAATTGGAGATGACAGGATATGGTTTAAAAAGTCCCTCAGCTTCCTGTGGCAGGAGGGTGATTGTCAAGATGTGAACATGAAATCAAACCAGACAAAAAGAAATAAAACCACGAAGTGAAACTCTGTGTCTCCCAGAATGAGCTAGTTGTCATTTCCTTCCCATCATGCAGACTTCTCTTTATCCCAGCACCATGTGGACAGGGTTCTCCACTTCCAACAGAAAATACTGAGTGAAACTCATATAGGAAGCAAGAAGACCTCCTTAAAAAACCAAGTAATTCAAGAAGTACTCAGAAGAAACTTCAGTCTGATTTTCAAATCATGGAAACACAAAGGATTAAAGCCTGGGGAATAGCTAATATTAGAGCCCTGTGAATATTTTGAGCCTCTCCCTCACTGTTGCCATTGTGGGACTGACAGAACATTCCCACTGGGGGCTAGGTAGCCATTTCAGCAACAGATTTCCCCCAAATTTGAGGTGTGCCCTTCTCAGCATTTCACTAAGGAAGCAGGTAGCAAGATGGAATCAAGTAAGTCCAGGTTGTGGATCAAAGTGGATCATGAAGAAAAGGCAAACCAAAGATTCCCACGCTGCCACCCCCATATAACCTGTCAGGAGCAGCTTAGAAAATTGGAGGAAAATGCTAAACCGCTTCCTCCACACACCTAAACTCAAGCACAGCTTCTTTAAAAAGCTGAGGAGTTTAAAAAATCCTACACTGCTGGAGGTCTGACCTGTAGAGACACTTGGGAAGAACAGGCCCCCAAGAAGCAGCAGAGAACAGTCAGCAGACCCCTCCAGGGACCCTCTGCACCCACCAGGCTGTTGGGGTTCCTCTGCTGCTCTCTGGGTACTTGTCTTCTCACTAATTAGCCCTAATCACACCGCCTCACAAATTACAACCCAAAAAGCATTTGATCTTCATGTTCCATTGCTGGTGAAGGAGATCATTGTCTCCTCAAACCACCAAGCCCTCATCAATGAGTATAAAGGGTGAAGACAAAAGGAAAAGTCGAGAGGGAAACACAACAACCCACACTCAAAACATCTGAATGCTATTTCCCAGTGGTGCTCACTAAATCCCAACACCTTGGTTCTGCCCAGAAATCCCAGAAACACAGGTTAGGCTGGGTATTTATACCAGAGAGACTCTGGGGACAGGAAGCAGCTGAATGCCACAGCAGCTCCCAGTGCCGATTCAGTCCAGCTTTCCGTGCTTAACTCTGCTTCTTGGGAGAAAGAAAACATTGTGGCCACAAACTCCTCCAAGTGCTTGGCTAAAGCCCAGTGTAATACATTCCCTTCCAGGAGTGGCAGATCACAGCAGGGACAGAAAGGCTACTTCTGATCAGACATGACATTTTATTTTGTCCTGCCCTTGCCAAATCTGCCCTGGTAAATGGGAACTCAGCATTTTGGGATGAAGTAGCATGGATATTGCCTTAGTCCATTCTCCTTATCCCACAAATTATAATTCACAATCAAACATGAAGTATTTTTCACAGTTCTTTTCTCTTTTCAACTTTTTTTTAATAGAAGAGCACAGTCAAATTTTCTACTGCAATCCTTACTATGCATTGTTTTGCTGCACAAAGCTGTAACTTTGCAAGATTGCTCAGACACCTGCTTTTGTCAGCAGAAGCATTTGCAAAAAAGACTTTAAAAAGTATTAATAAACTAATATTTTTCAGTGATGTGTGAATCAATAGGAATCAATATGAAGCCCTTGGGAAAAAAATTCTCTCCAAGGGCAGAGTTCAAGTGCTTTTCAGTGATCATTTTTCCACTTGGAGCACCTAGATCTCCAGGGGATAACATAACTCCAAGGAATCTACATAAAAGGCGCTCCTACTTCCCTGATAGCTGTTAAAACTCTTTTCCTGGTACAACAGTAGATCCTAATCCAGATTGTCTTTACCTGCTTCTCACCCCGTTGGGCAGAAGTAAGGATAAGCCTTAAGGCATTGTCTGTCAGATAAAAACTGGACCACAGGAAAAGCTGAGAGGGATAAATCCTGGAACAGATGCATAAATGAGCAACAGCTAAGCCATATGAAATTTAATGAAGTGCAGACTCGCAGGCTTTGGAGATGGAAAAGACGTCTTAGATCATCTAAACCCAGCTTCTGCCAGTTCAGGATTGGCCCCTAGAGTGATGTGCTGAACTTTAAGGAAAAACCACGCTGCCAAAAGCTTTGTCAAACCCATTAGACTTGTTCCAGGAGAGAAATTAAAATACCCAAACATCATGAACAGGCTTCAAGTGGCAGGAAAACTTGATTGTGTCCCCATCTCTCTATCAAACCTTGGTGAGGAACCACATCCAGAGTGTCAGGGCACTGTACAACACCTGAATAGCATTGGGAATGGGGACTGTACACCACCTGGATAGCATTGAGAATGCAATTAGGAACTGCACAGCACCTGGACAGCATTCAGACCAGGAGTGGGGTGTGTACACCACCTGAATAGCATTGGGATTGGGAATCCCATGTTTCCTGTGAAGAAAGCCCCTGAAACCAACCAGTCCTGAGCACCACATAAGTAACTGCACATCTTAGGAAACTGTCTAGAAATGCAGTCATGTATGTTTTCCTCAGGGGAATGGAGTCCTAAAGGAAACCAGGAATGCCTTTGGCAGTGGAGACAAGGGAAAAGAGATAGCATTTGAGAATGATCCAGGGAGGACAGCAGGAGAAAGCTGTCTGAGGGCAATGGGATGAAGCTGAAGTGACAGCCAAAAAAACATTCACCAGGAGCCACTTCTCAAGGGACTGTTCACACCCTGCACTCACAATTAATTTACCCCCAAGCCTGGGCTTCAGAGCCAAGCAGCTGAGTTTAGTGGAGAAGTTGCTGAGTGTTCCAGTGTTCCCATCTCCCACCAAGGGCAGCAGGAGCAGATGGAACTCCAAAGTGACACTGCAGGCATGGAGGACCCTGGAGACCAGCGGGGAACTGAGGGCATCTTGGTGGAAAAAGTATCATCTGGAAATCAGGAAAGCATTTCTTTTTCTGAAGGATCCAACTCATAAATGATCTTCCAATTTCATGGGAGCAAAGTTGTTTTTATAACCCTAGCAAGCCACAAATAAGGGATTTTTTTAAAGTGTTCTAGCCTAACCTACTCAGAAAGTGACATTAATAATTTATCTTTGTGCAGACAATTAATACTGTGTCCTACACACCATTCTTGGACCAGTTACAAGGATTAACCATGGCTGGGGCTTGAGCTGCCACTGAAACATCTGCAGAAAGGCCAAATGTTTGATTAGGAGTGATGTGCATGTAACAACACAGGAATGTACTGGGGGACTGGAGTCTCTCTCTATTTAATACACTTGGTCTTCTGTATTGCACAGGGTGGAATTCTTGGGATTGTCTTTGCAGGGCCACGAGTTGGACTCCATGATCCTTGTGGGTCCCTTCCAACTCAGGATATTCCATTATTCCTGACTCTACAGCTGTGATGCATTAGCCAGCTTGCAAATGGAGGCGAGGTTTGCTGTGCCTTAGCAATAAGCACCTCTTAGGGATTCTGGATTATTACACATCTTCCAAAGCAATTCCCATGTTTTGTCCTCAAGCTCACACCCACTGCACCCCAGACCCCACCTAACTGTGTGTTCCCAGCACAACAAGAGGCAGGGCGATGTCGATTCATTCCTTGGGATGCTGAAGCCAAGCACCTTCCATGAATGACTTGCATTTTCCCGCAGCTGTTACAGCAGCGTTCCCAGGTGGGTGATGCTGTCCCATGCTGAGCCCTTCCCGCATTCTCCACAGCTGGAATGTCCCACACAGTCCCATCCCACACTCACCGTGGTTGGAATGCCTCACGCAGTCCCCCAGCACGGCGCTGAAGTGTCTCTGTGCGCCAGGCTCTGGGAAGCAGTAGTAGCTGTGCCGGGAGAAGGGCTGCCACAGGTATACTGGGAACTCCTTCGGGAGCGGAACAAAGGCTGCAGCCACCTCCTCACTTGAGCCTGCACAAAAACATCTGTTTGAGAGCTGCAGACTACCTCGGAGTTGGCTCTGTGCTGGACCTTTGCCAGCAGGTTAATCTCCTTCCCAGTCCAGGTGATTGGGCACAGAGGGCAGGGGGACACAGCTGGGATGGGCACACTCCACTGGCATCAACCACCTCTCTGTGTCACAGCAACTTGATGGCTTCTTACTTTGTACTCAAGGTGGCAAAAATCTAGTTTCAGCAAAATTTCAAAGAAACTATTTCACTGGATTGCAACTGCTAGGGAAACGGTTTTCATTGCTGATAAGTAAATTAGTAGGAAGGTCTGTTCCACATAAAGACCATTTAGGAACATATGGCCTTTCTTATAGAAATAAATCACATTAAAGAAACGGTGTTGGAACAGCAGTGCTTTTCCTGGTTCCAGGACTTCCACAGAGAACTGCCCCTAAAAACTGTCATTTCAAGCCCTTGCAGGTGATGTAAAGAAAGCGCCAAGTACCTCCAGCTTCCACCTGCCCCATGTCCTTGCACACAGGGAATGCTGGACAGCACATTTAGGGATGACCAAACCCAATCTGGAGTCACTGACATGCATTGAGAGCCCAGACACAAGAGGTTCACCTCAGAGGGTGTTCAGCACCACACAGACAGGGAGTAGGGCCATAAAGATTAAGTGATGCTCTTTTTGAAGGGAGAGCCATTGGAAGCCCACAATCACCCTTGGGGTACTCCACATCACTCAATCCCAACTGCTGCAGAGCTGTGGTGACAGACATAGGACACCTCCAAGCCCCTCTGACCACCCTGTGCCTTAGGAAAGGGTGTGAGAGGACACCTAACTTTTAAATCCTAAGGATTTAAAGGATTCAAAAAAAAAAAAAAAAAAATCATTGTCTTCAAGTTTCCCTTATTCCTTTCATTATGTGGCATCTCATTCTCCAAATCTTACTCTGCAATGTCAGACCCACTTCTGCAAAGCACTGAATTTTCTCCATCTTGGTTGAGTGGGAGCAGGCAGGAACACAGCAGTTCCCAGCCCAGAAACAACAAACTCAGAAGCAGCCACCTTCCTGCCCTCTCTGTGGGACTTATTATCAGCTGTGAGTCAACACAGATAGCTGGCATCTAAAAATGGAAACAAATAAACCAGGAATATTAACAAAGCCCAGGAACAATGGTGCTGTGGTTCCTGCCCTGCTTCTGCACAGCTTCCAGCAGCTTTCTGATGGTATGCTGGGAAGAAAGGGAGCCAGCATTTCTCTGAATGTTGGCTTATGGCATCTGCTTTTTTCATCCACTCTGGAGCTGTGCTTCAACTTGGGAGAAGGGCTGTGGGCATCTTCTGCAACCCCATTTTAAATTGGAGCCTGAAAGCCTTCCCATAACAGTTTAAGGGAATTAAGCCCAGAGCCTGGGAGCAGTTTGGCTTTGAGCAAGACTTACCAACAGGGTCTGGAAAATGTTTATCAGACAGCAAATTGTAATCTTCTTCTGAAGTCAGGACTTTGCCTCCTGCAGGAAGAATTTGGTATTTAGGGCTGGCTCCCTTCTGGTAGGCCTGGAAAATCAACAGAGAGGAAGTATTGTCAAATAGAGATTTAAGGAGAGAGAAAACAATACACAATTCACTGACAAAGCCAGGAGCTGACTCCATGATCCTTCTGGGTCCCTTCCAACTCAGGATATTCTATGATTCTAGTGCATGGGGATATTGCCAAAGGGAGAATCTTTTAGTCAGAGTGAATTTTGGAAATGTTCCCATGGCATGTAAAATCTAAAACATGGTTAAACGTAAAAAACTTGTTTGAAAATATCCTCTCAGTGCTTATTTGCAGTGGTGAGGAGTCAGGAATGGAAGGGAGGGAAAAAAGATGGGATTTTCTCCCTGAGCCAAATTTGTTGGATTTGTCAGGACTAGTTTGAATACGGCAGCTTCTAGGCAAAAACCTCCACTGTAGTCAGCCTGGAGCCACCCACTGCTACTTCAGATCCAACTGTAGGAGCACAAGGATGTATTACAGGGATGTACAGATGAGAAGTGTACAGGCACAGGAAAATTCAAGGGCTGTTAAAAGGATTTGTTCTTGCCAACGTATCTGGCCAAGGCAGGGCACTTGGCTGTACCCTCAGCCATCCCTGTGGAGCTTCAACTGTAGCCACCCTGACAAGGGTGACATCTCCTACAGCTGAAGGCAAAGCAGCAGCAGCAAATCCACTTGCTACTGGTTTGCCTAGGAGTGTACAAGCACATCCACAGAAGCAGCACTTACCTCTTTGGTCTCAAAGCAATTCACAGTGTAGTCATTTTGGATCACAATGTATCTGTCCTTCCACTTCTTCAGGTCCTCAGCGAAGTGCAGCAGCTCTGCTTCGTACAGAACTGTCCTGGTTTCCCCTGTGGGCTACAGGCACAATTGGAGACATCTGAAACTCCTCTGCACCACTGACCATCTTGAAGCTTTTATTTCTACATTTCCACAATGCTGCTTTGAGGGATTTTGAGCCTTCAAATGCAATTTGGAGTCATAAACATCACTGATTTCAGAAGGTTCAACAGACACAAGCAAATTCTTGTAGCTGAGGTAAGGGGGAAAGCAGAAGAGCTTTGCCTTCCAAAACACTGCTAGATTTCTGGGACAGAGATTTATTTACCTTTCAGCTGACATGCTGAATGCAAGATCAGAGAATCCTACATCCATCCTAGTGGTTTGGGTTGGAAGGGATCTTAAAGACCATCCAGTTCCAACCCTGCAGGATAACTTGAGAGTTCACCACCTCCCATTTTCCATTACGTAATATAAATATTTCATTGATATGAAAAACAGGGTTTTATTATAATATAGTAAATTGTTTCCCATTTCTTTGTAATACTTTTGCATCTGTGCTGTAACTGATATGCACCATTCTGAAAGACACAGATCTTCTATTATCCCACCTCACTGTTTTACCTACTCACTTCAAGAGCATTGGAAATCCATGATTTCCAGCATCTTCAGAACATTTTAATTTTTATCTTCTTAATCTTGAAGGCTGGTCCTCTGCATTTTCCTCTAATAAAACGACTTTTGTCTCTCTTTTTGTCTCGCCTCTAATAAAAACCAGCTTTCCATAGTTCCGAGGGAATTACTGCCATCTTCTTTAAGGAACCCTGAGCCATGGATGACAGGATTAATTATGTTTCCTACATAATCTCTTCCCTGAAAGTATGATCTCTGTCCCTATATTTTGCAGAACCTTGCAACCAGCAAGAAGGAACCAGTTTTGTCCAAATGTCAAACTCTTTGTACCAGAAAGTCACGTCATGGCTCTCCTTGTGCCACAATGAACAACAAGACCAAAATAAAGATGAATTTTCAAAAATAAAACTTCAAACCTGTACACAGGTGCAACTTTTCCATCCCAAACCAAAATGACCCAAATCAAACACCTGCACATGCAAACTACTGTGTGCACTTGGTTCACAGAGAGGAAAATCAGTGTCCTCCTACCCTGGTTTTCAGGAAGTGGGACTGGGAGTGGCAGTCCTGCTCCAGCTCCTCCTGCACATGCCTGCAGAAAGCCACGGCATACTGGCGGCGGTAGTGGGGGCTGAAGTTCTTGATGGTGGCCTCTGTTTTCCCTGAGGTGAAAAAGATTTAAATGTATTTAATGTACATGGCTTCACAACCTGCAACACAGAACCAGAGCACTTCTCACCAGTGACCAGAATTCTCTTTGGAGAAGAGGCAGTTCCAGAGTCAGCTAATACTGACCTTCCAGTACCTGTAGGGAGCCCACAAGAAAGATTTAGAGAAACTCTGGACAAGAGATGGAGTGTCAGGACGAGGGGGAATGGCTTCCCACTGACAGAGAGTAGTTTTAGATTGGATATTGGGAAGGAATTGTTCCCTGTGAGGGTGGGGAGGCCCTGGCACAGGTTGCCCAGAGAAGCTGTGGCTACCCCTGGATCCCTGGAAGTGTCCAAGGCCAGGCTGGGTCAGGCTCGGAGCAACCTGGGATAGTTGGGAAGGTGTTCCTATCCAGGGCAGGGTGTGGAACTGGGCTTTAAGGTCCATCTAACCCAAATCATTCCATGATTCCATGAGAACACCTCCTGAGTGTACCAAGGGCCACTTGCTGAAAAGATCAGGAAACCCTTGGAGATGCATTCAGAAGGAAATTGTCCAGGAAAACACTGGGTTTGGGACTTTGCTTTTTCTTCTAAGAGCAAACAAAGAATTTCCCAATTCCATTTCTCTAAGAAAAGATGATCTTTACCTCTCCCTGGGACACACTGCCCCAGAGCCGAGTGTGGTCAAGGGGTGAAAGTTTTAAAAAAAAAAAAAAAGTTTTCAAAGCCAGTGACACTGGCTAATGTTCAGCCATAGGAGCCAATTTTGTCACTTACTGAGATTCCAAAGCTGACTCAAAGCTCTACAAAAGATTTTTCTAGGCTTGGGCACTACAGTCTCATATTTGTTTTAATGTAAACATATCCTCAGTCATGCTGCAATAAACATTAATCTGGTATTGTCTCGCCGTGATCAGGATCTTACGGGTAGCAGCAACAGCAATAAACACACTGAGGTCTCACTTCTGAGAATCTTAAAACAATTTACAAACAACTCATTAATCCTACCAAAGAAGTAATGGTGCTTTACAGACAGGGAAGTGAAGCTAACAGCATGTGCATAAACGTGACTCAAAGAGTCTGTAGCAATGCAAAAACCAGAACCTGGCCTATGATCTAGAGAGCATCCCAAACATCCTGGATACTGGAGGCATCCCTTTCTTCTTAGTATTAGGGAGCTGCATGCCAATGAGCATACAACAGAGAAATTTCACATCTCAAGCAACTTCGATGCTTTCAAAATTTCATTTTGTTCTGCTTGTGGGAGAACATTGTACTTTCTGTATGAGAAAAAAATGGTAATTCCTGAACTAAGACTTCTTAATTCCTTTATATGGACTCCTAGACAGGACTGTCACACAGCATTGCTGAAATGGAATTCATGGAAGTGTTCAAGGCCAGGGGTGGGGAGCAGTCTGGTTTACTGGAAGGTGTGACTGCCCATGGCAGGGCATAGGACTGGATGGTTTGAATAACCCTCCCAACCCAAACCATTGTGGGATTCTATGAATTATTCCCCAAATTTTTAACACAGATGTGCATGAGAAGACAAACCTACATGCCAGCTCCTCTGCTTCTGCAGGTGAATTTCCAGTGTGATGGAGAATAAGATACATCCCCTAAGTTCAGGGGCAATGCCAACACTTCCATTCCTAACACCACCTTTCATTCCAGCCACTCCCATGTGCCAACTCAGAGTTGTGAGCTGGAGCCTTCTTCATAAGCACCAGTGTGATCACTGCCTTCCACTGAACTGGAAGCCCCTTTTGCCCCACTGCTGCCCCATTCCAGTTCCACACCAGCCCTGGGAGACAGACCTGATGCCCTAGAGCCCTCTCCAGGCACATGGAGGAGCTGGCTCAGTGCTGGCACAGCCATCCCACTCAACTGGAGGGATGTCAGAAGCAGTTAATTCACCACTTATGAAAGGCTTACAGAGTTACTTGTGGGACAGCACCCACAGGACCTGATTGTCCAGGTGACAATCTGGACTCCAAATCTTCAGTTTTAGGATGGATTTTTAATACCGATTATAGGATGTGCTTGGGTATAATAGCAGAATATGGTGCTGCTAAAGCAGAATATCCCAGCCCTACAAAAACTAGCCTGCTTTGGGCAGAGACATAGACTTACACTCCAAATAAGGACAAAGTTTCCCGAAACCTCCTTTGTAGCATTTTTTTTCCTCCTGGTCCCAGCCAGCAGTAGGATGTTGTTGGCCTCAGCCCCAGCGGAGTTTCCTGCTCAGGGTTTGCCCCTATTTTGCACTGTGGCTTTTTCTTTTCCAGCTCGCATCATGCACTTAATCTGTGAGAGAGGGCTCTGGGACACTGCACCTCACTTTACTACTGCCTGCATCCTGCAGAAAAAGTTTGTGGAGGAAGTGGGACAAAGACTAAAATTCTGGTGTTAGGTAAAGCTTTCAACAATCACAGGAAATACCTGTAATTTTGGCAAAGTCTTTCAATTAAAGCTAAATGGCCTCAGAAGTGTCATTCTTCACCATCAGTACTACTTAGATCAGCTTAAAGCACGATGACTGAAGGGAAAGAAACTCTGCAATTCACAACATATACATCAGAAATAGGACATTGATAATGTAATTTTTATGTGCAGGCTGTATTTATGACAAACCAAAACATTAATCAAGAGGCAAATGTTTCTAGCTGTTTCTTCCAGTCTTCACACTACTTGGTGAAAAGGAGCTTTGCGTTAAAAATACTCCACCCTCTTAAATTTAGAGGAAAAGTTTATTTAAAGAAATTGTGAGTAGCACCACATGAGGACCTGGCCTTGCAGGGTTCAGCTGAACTGAATTTCAGTGCTACCTGAAGGTGGGAAGTGAAGCAGACAGACCATTAATCCATTGTTCCTCAATGGATCTTTAAACTCTTTTAGTTTACAGAAAATAAAAATATGCTATCTGAAAATAAATGTGATGGAAACAGTCCTGAGTAACAGAAACTCTTCCCATGAAATGATACCATGGGGAAACTGGAGATAAAATACTCCAGGGCTGTTGAAAAATGAGTTCCCCTAATTCTTTTCCAAATTTAGTGTGGCTGGCTTAGTCAGAGCTGTTTATATGGAGCACAGCCAATGCTCCCACTTGGCTGGTCTTGCAGTGGCACAGCTCCAGCCCATATAAATGGGATCTGAATCTCAGCAGCTGGGATGTTTATCCTAGGAGAATGAGGAGTCTGATCAGCTCCAGGAGGAGCCTGCATGCAACCTCCTGCACCTGTGCTGAGCCAGGAGTTGGACTCAGTGATTGATCCCTGTGGGACGCTTCCAACTTGGGATATTCTGGGATTCCATGAACCAAAATTAAACAGGAAAAGACAACTGTGATGGAGATGGAAGGATTTCTGTAAAATTAACAAGGCAAGGGTCTGTTCCCTCCTTTGCTGAGAGTTTAGATCCTGCTCCAGAATAAACTTTGCTAATGCTTCATGTTGCACCTCCTACTCCACAGAACTGCCCTGCACATGACCACAAAACTCTAGCATGAGTTATGACACCTTTTAAGGCTAAAAACAAATGTCACTACACGGAGAAAGAAGAAACAACTACCTGTTGCCCCCTGGAAATCAGTAATCAGCCCAATTTTTTTTCTTCCTTGCTTTTCCCCTGCCTTTGACCTTCTTAATTGTGTCACCCATGTTGGACACTTGTATCTAACTCCAGGTCATCAGGTTCACAGAATGGCCTCGAATACCCAACTTCATAGTGGGGGTTTAACTGTTCTTACTGAAATAACTGACATACAGCTTTTTCAAACAAGGGCACTCTTCAGCAAATTCTCCCAGGAATGAATTCCTGCTGGTCTAGCCACCAGCTCCCAGTGCAGCTATCTAGCTCATCCTGTCTTACCTCCCTGTTTTCAACAACATGTTGCCATGTGGCCAGTCCAGGTACAGGTCAGGAAAACTCGGGGAAAAAAGGTAGAAAAAAAATAACTTCTTGGCTGGCATACAAGAGGGTGATTGCTCACACTCCCAGAACTTCAGCCATTTGGAAGCTAAGAATGGAAAGAGGGAAGGACTTGCCATAAAAGCTATTTCACTCCAGTATTGGTGTTTGGCAGTAAGATGACCCTTCCAAGAGTAGGAAAATGCTTAGAATCCTTCCCCTTCACAGCACAGTTGCCTGCACTCAGCACCTTTTGGAAAGGGTTTTCCAAATATACCACAATCAGTGATATGAATCTCTTTGGAGGTCTGGGGGCTGATGTATCTTCTTACATCATTTAAGCCCCAGGGGACATGAATGTCAAAGAAGTTCATGATTTGCTGTATTAAAACAAATCCTGGACAAAATAAAACCTAAAAGAAATAGGCACTGTGTGTGCTGAATGTCAGTACACCCAGCACTTTGAACAAGTAAAGCAGTGAGACAGAGCAGGAACAAATCACTTTTTCTTATTTCCTCCACCAGGCCATGAACAAAGCTGTCAGAAAACAATCTAAAATGATCAGCTCATCATACCCACACAGTGCTTCACAAGCCAGGATGTAACCCACAACTGGAGACATGCTTTTAAATGATAAACTAGAAACCAGTAAATCTATATATACTGTGTGCCTTAATGCAAACTGAGCTTTACTACTGTCCATCCATCCACCCATCCACCCAGACTTATTCTCATAGCCCAACAAGGTAGCAGAAGAATGAGTTAAAAAAAGAAATCCAGTGTTCAGCTCCTGGACCGACTTCATCCCAAGTCCAAGAAAAACACAACTCTGATTGAGGTAAATGTCTGAAATTACAGATGCTCTACATAAGCCCTGAAAGCTAGATGTCAGTACTGGCAGCTCTGGTTTAAGTTAATTCTGAATGCTGCTGGATTACTAAAAATGAAGAACAAACAGTAGAGCACAGATCCTGCACAAACACAGAGTGGCACTTGGGTCAAACACAAAGACTTGTTCCTGCAGCTGGCTTTGCCTTCCCCTGCTCCCACTGTCCAATCCTTATTTATGGGAGAAGGAAGATTTCACAAGTTGCCT